CTAGGAGTTTGGCTGGGGGTGCAGGTCTCATGGGCTTATTTCAGCATCCCCGGGCCTCCCCCCCTGCTGCCATCCTTTCCTCTCCCCAAAGGTCCTGTGCTGTCAGCTGGCTCCTTGCAGCCCTCTGGACCCTCCCAGTGTCCTACCGGGCCCAGCATTTGGGAATGCCGACCTTTCCCTTCCTGTCCCTCCGCGGTGGTTCACTCCCACCTGCAGCCCCCAGATCCTGCTGGGTGATTTGGGCTCCTCTGAGTGACGTTAGGGGCTGAAATTGGCTTCCTACGTAACCCTTGCCCTATAACCCTGTCTTACAGTTTGAATTGCACCCCCCAGTTCCCATGTGGGAGCCCCCAGTGCCTCCGAGGTGAGCTCATTTGGTGTGTTAGTCCTCTACAGCGCCTGGAACAGCACAGCACAGAGTGGGCAGCTTATGATCCACACACGTTTATTTCTCACTGCTCTGGAGGCTGCACGTCCACGGTCCGTGTGCCACGGTGGTCCCGTTCGGGTGAGGGACCCGGCTCACCCAGCACTTGCTCTCTGCTCTCCCACTCCAGGAGGGCGAGGAAGCTCTCTGGGATCCCTTTCATTGGGGCACCAACAGGCTCCGCCCCCAGGACCTAAGCACCTCCTCAAGGCCCCGCCCCCTGATTCTGTCTCCTTTGGGGCTTAGGGTTCCAACGCATGAGTTTGGGGGAGACACCAACATTCAGAACACAGCATTTGGAGACAGCGTCTTCACGGAGGTAATCAAGTTAAAATGAGGTCAGTTTAACTGGCCCTGCTCCAGTATGTCTGGGGTCCATATTTAAAAAAAAAAAAAAAGGAAATCTGGAGACAGACTTACGCCCAGCAAGAACACCTTGGGGAGGTGAAGACAGCCATCCACAAGGCAAGCAGAGAGGCTTGGGACAGGTCCCCTCCCAGCCCTCAGAAGGAGCCCGCTGCGCTGCCACCGCGATGTCGGACTTCCAGCCTCCGGAACGGCGAGACGACGGAGTTCTGGGGTCGAAGCCGCCTGCTCTGCCACCTTCATTCCGGCAGCCCCAGCGGAGTCACAGTCCCCTCTGAGGCCGGGTCCACAGCGCCCCACTCAGGAAAGTGGCATGAAGCAAGCGTTCGGTAAGGGCTCAGAGAATTAACGAGTGAAGGAAGAAATCAGATTTCCCCTTGCCTGGCGGCCTCTGATCTTGTGACTCACAGGACAGATTCACTCCGCAGCCTGAGGGACCCACCACAGCACCACCATAAAGGAGCGGCCCTCCTGAGCTCCTCAAATCACAGGTGGGCGTGGCCACCGTTCTGCAGGACATCGGGTCTCCCCAGTGGTCCTTGTCCTCCTGCTATTAGCATGCCAAGTCACCCTTGAGCCTGAGTCCCCTCCTCACCACTTGTCCCTGCCTCATTGTCGCTGCTGTCGCCTAGCTACCCTTGTTTCAAGAACCTGTCTGTTCTTTGAAGTACAGCAGCAAGGAGAAAGATTTGAAGTCAGCTTGTTCACCAACAGAGATGTGAAGGTCATGACCCCTGCCCCCCGGGAGCTCACCAGGGGCCAGCAGGGTGACAGATCCAAGACAGTGGGTCTCTGCACACCAGGTAGGTGCTGTGGCAGCTCATGGGACACCAGAATGCTGAGAAACAGCGTTGAACTAAATCTACGGTTCTCTGGGAGGCTTGGGAGATTGTTGAGTATAAGCCAGATGGACAAAATCTGAGAGGTCATCTAATTTAAGCCCAGGCCTGAGACTAAAGCCAGCTCAACAGCTCAGGTAAAAAGCGCCCAAGTGCAGACCAGAACCCAGGGCTCCTGGCTCCCAGTCTCAAGCCATGTGGGTTCTCTGGAGGAGTCTCCCATGGCCCAGTGCTCAGATGGGCAGCTCCCTGGTGCTAGGAACCCTGGTGGGGATTCAGTACTGGCACCAGGAGCTCTGTCCTCTTCTCCGTCCTCATGTGGTCTCCCAAAACACCTGGCTAGGGCATCACAAACCCATTCTCCCCATGGGCAAATGAGGCACAAAACCTGGGCTTGGGGTGGGGGCTCTTGGTCAGAACCATGTCACCACTGGCCAGCAGTGACCCGAAGCTGTGCAACTGAATGGAGGCGCCTCATTCACAGCTTGTCCAGTCCGCTCAGGCTGTCCTCGGGGTACAGTGACTACTCCTGCCCAAGGGGCAGACCAGATACACCCCATTCCCACTCAGACCCCTCAGGCAGTCAAAACACATTCAGACACACCGCCGTCCTCCCTGTCCCCTGTTCTGTTGCTCCATTTGGCTCTCAGTCTGGGACCACGCAAAGCCATGACAACTGGTGACAAGGGACACTCGGAGAACAGGGACGTGACTGTGCCTTCGCACACCCTTCTCGCAGAAATTCATATCTGGAGCAGCCTTCTTATTCTCTGTGCACGAGGATGAAAAGAGGGCCGATGTTGTTACTCCCCGAGAGTCTAACTCACATGTTCAAGGTCACATTATAACAGTAAAAGAAAGTCCACCCAAGTAACTTCTCTTCTGCCTTGAAACAGACCCCTGTCAGCCTAGACTTTGGCGCCAGTAAACTATAAGCCGTTTTTCTGTTTTCCTAAATGCCTGGAAAAGTAATTACACTGAACAGGATCAATGAGAAAGACCAAAGCCGAAGCAAGGTGGCCTGACTTCCTTCCCCGCTCCGCACCTCCAGCCTCACGCCCAGCCCTCCCTGCTGTTGTCCGTAGTAGCTCACTGCCGCAGGCCCACCGGAAGGGAGGGGTCCCTCGGTAAGGATGCACAAAGAATGCCCCTCCCACGAGAAATGACTCTTTCTAGTTAGAAACATAATAACAAAAGCAAACACAAATAATATTAACATGTAATATGTTCCATGCAACATTCTAAGTCCCTTAGATGTATAACTCATTCAGTCCTCACACCGACCCTCTTTAGAGGAAGAACTGTTTTCCCATTTCACAGATGAGATACTGAGGCCCAGAGGGGTTAAAAGGACATGCTGGGTGTCACCCTAATATTGCACAGCTAAGCTGGGGGTCAGTCCCAGGTAGCCTTGCTTCAGATTCCAAGAGGCTAATTAATCACTTCGCTATCTAATTAATCAGGATGTCTAATCAAAACTTCTGGCCTAGGCTTACTGGTCCCTGCTTTATCTAGCCCCACCCACCTCTTTAGCTCCACCCACCTCTTTAGCTCCACCCCTCTCTCCAAGCCTTTGAGAAGCTGCATTCATCTTCCCTCTTCACCTCAACCCCATTGGCTTTCTGTGAGTTTGCCACGTGTTCCTGCAGGCCACAGGGCCTTTGCCCATGCTGTCCTCTGCTGGGACTGCTCTTCCTGCCACCTTTCCTCCAGTAACAGCCTTCACTCTCCTAGTTTCTGCTGAGTATCTTGTCCACAGGGAAGCCTTCCTTGCCCTCCCAGGCCAGGGCAAACCTCCCCGCACGGCCCATAGCAGAGTTACACTTTCTCACCTGTTGTGATAACTCAGTTCATGTCAGCCTCTCCCACCAGACTCCAAGCTGCAAGGAGAGAGTGCAGCTGGTTTGCTGCCGAGTCTCCAGGGGCTGGCACGGTGCCTGGCTTCACAGATATCTGTTGAATAAATAACTGACTGGCAGGAAGGACAGAGCTCCTGAATCTCAAATCATGTGTTCCTGGGATTCTGGGCTTTTCCCCCCTCCGTTATAGCTGAGCAAAACAGTCCTGGTAATAATCTCGAAAGAGGCTGGTGTTCTACCCAGTAAGTATAAAAACACCGTCTAATGCCTTTCTTTCTGGTTTAAATTTTTATTCCCTCTGTAAATGTAGAAAAGTATTCCCATTTCATCCAATTGATTCAGATTGAATCTAAATGAGGGTGAAATATAATTTTCTGCATGCCGTGCAGCCATAATTCCTGTGTCTAAATAAAAAAACAACCAGCAGTTGGAAATGAGGCGATGGGTGAGCCACCACTTGGCATTTCCAACCCCCCACGTCCGTCGTCACAGATCACGAGCTCGGCCGAGGGAGGTATCTGCGTGCTTCCTGGACGCGAGCTTGATTCTGACCCGGTTTTTCGACAGATACGATCTAGACATTCAGGACACGTGTGCCTCGGGCGGAAAAGGGCACAGGGAAGGGTGGGGCATCTGGTGTCAGCTGGAGACCAAAATATCTCCCTGAAGTCCACAGGTGGGAGGGAGGCAGAGCAGAGTGCCCTTTAGGATCCCGCCAGAAAGGCTGTCCCCGCCCCGCCCCCCGAGAACCTGCTGCAACAGTCACGCCAGCCCACTTGTTTTTGTTTGGTGAACTCACTCAGGGTAGCACGGTCCGTTGCACGCCGATGCCAGTGCTTGGGATGATGTTCAATCTCCCTGCTGGACACAAAGTCTCTTGTGCAGAAGCGATCAAAACAACGCTCTGAAACAGGTGGACCACAAATGAATGAACACCATCTTTTCCTGCAAATTGCACTGGGGGAGAAATTATTGACTGGGCAAACGAGTGACAAAGCTGGATCCCCTCCTCCTGCATCCTCCGAGTCCTCTGCTATTTTGTTCTCCCGAAATCTCATTTCCATGAAACCCTCGAGAGACGAGCCTGTGGCCAGCAGGCGGGTTCCTTAGCCGGCTTGCCACTGTGAACGCCGTCGTAACTCCACGGTAAGGAGTGCTCGTTCTGCTCCAACAGCCGGGCACTGACAGGACTTATATTTCAGAAGGGCCCCCAGTGGCTTCCCAGCCCCTGTTCATAACAGAATGGATGCAGACCGAGCCAGGGGCATTGCACCCCCCAGGAGGTGGAGATAAATCTTATTTACAGGCACATACACAGATAGATATGTACAAATACATAAAAACCCTTATTGTCAATAACATAAATTCTGTTCCTGCTTAGAATAGAAATAAACTTTCCTGGGCAAGACGGTGTCCTTTGCAGAGTTTCCAAGGCAGAGAGCCTTCTGCAAAGTCACCCCTGCAGCTATTTATAGCTCTGGCACTTGGCTGAGGCTGACTGATGGCGGCAGGGCAACACGGGAGTGCGCTGCAGCCGGCCGCCTAAATCACTCCTCCCCAATGCCCGCGCTTTGCGGGCCTCTCCTGACGTCCTGGCTGGGACCACAGGAAACGGGACGGCTGCTTCTCCTTGGTTCAGGGTGGACACGGCCAGGACCCACTTGGCCCACCAGAGCAGGAGGCGGGTGCGGGGCCCTGGCCACCGCCGGCCCTGTGCTGGGAGCCGCAGAGTGAATCCGGAACAGCCCGTGGGGTAAGCCGTCGCCACCCCTGTCTTGAACGTGAGGACAACGACGCTCTGGGGTTATGTTTCTTCTCTCCAAGACGGGCACCTGGCGTGTGGCTGAAGAGGCCACTGAGCCTGACTCCACAGCCCTGCGTTCCCCCAGCCCCTGTCACACTGCTGGTTGGGTGGGGCCGCTTCTCCCTTCAGCTTCGGTAGCCAGCGGGTGGCTGATCCGATTCGGGGAGGGGCCCGGACGGGCTCCCGGAGCCTGGAGAGGGGCAGGCTGCTCCGCTCTCCCAGGCTGCGGGCCCAGTGCGAGGTGGAGATCCGCGCCCCTCAACCTCCCTCTCTGTCCTCTCGTCAGTGAGCGAGGACACCACTCCCCAGTGCCCAGATTAAAACGAAGGCCCCCAGCCTGTGGTGCCTCCCGCTCCCACCTCTGCTCTGGAGGTGGTGGCAACATGCACCCGAGGGTGGTGAGGTGACCACGAGTCTACCCCCGAGAAGTCTCAGAACGGAGCCAGTGCCAGTCAGCTCTCAGGCATGGGAGTGACGACTATTTTACACTTGGAAAGAGAGAAAAGGAACCATGCTTCTATGCCAGCTTCCATGGAGAGCGAGGTAGGCCCTTTGAGCAGCATAACGTGGCTGCTGAAAAAGTCTTGTCCACCTTGTCAAAGCCAGCCCCGAGCGAGAGCCTGCCCCGGCACCCGCTGCGTGACTGGCAGGAGCATCATCTGCAGGGGGTCAGCCTTCTCACCCACGCACCCCGCCCTGAGGTGGGGGGCCTCCAGGGAGTCGTGTCTCCTGGGAGGGGAAGGCAGACCAGAGCCCTCTCCTCTCCCCATCTCGCTCACCTCCAGCAGCTCCATCCAACTGTGACAACCCGCTCCCCTCCCCCGCCCACCTGCCCACCGTTGGGGGAGGAGGGATTAGACTCAAAAACGACCATAGCACAAAGCGTCCAGTAGCACTGCATGGTATCACAAGAGCTTCCAGTCTAATCACATCAATACTTTTTTTTAAATGAGATTTTAACAAAGCTTTACCTCATAGCTCTGTTTCATCCCAACAGAATGAATTCTACAGCCTAACAGAATAGGCATTTGGGGCTAAAGCAAAGCTCGTCAAAGCTGCAAGCAGTTGGGGGGAAGGGACCGAGCACTGTTCAGGGGTTGATGGTGCCTTCGTTCGTTCTGGAAAGTCCACCTGAGTGAGCAAGTGGCCGTCAGCCGGAAGCAGACACCGGAGAGGGAGAAGCAGAGAGCTGGGCCTGGGGAGGCAGCTGTGAAGGGGAGGGAGGGGCGGGGCATCTCTCCGCAGCCTCGGCTGCATCAGGTGGAAAGGAATTAAATGGCATGTTTGGGTGACGACCAATCTGAACTGCTCGTTCCATTCCTCTTTTTCACCCTCACCTCTCTGGCAACCTTCAGCCTGTTCTCTGCCTATGAGTCTGTTTCTGTTTTGTGTGTTCATTTCTATTGTTCTTTAGCATCCACATATACGTGAAGTCAGATGGTATTTTTCTTTCTTTACCTGACTTACTTCATTAAGCATAACACCCTCTAGGCCCATCACCCTGTCACGAATGGTAAGATTTCCTTTAGTGCCATCTTTTTTTTCCTAAAGATTTTATTATTATTTTTTATTTTTAGAGAGGGAAGGGAGGGAGAAAGAGAGAGAGAGAGAGAGAGAGAGAGAGACATCAATGTGCGGTTGCTGAGGGCCATGGCTTGCAACCCATGTATGTGGCTTGACTGGGAATCGAACCTGTGACACTTTGGTTCGCAGTCTGCGCTCAATCCACTGAGCAAGGCCAGCCAGGGCGCGATCTTCTTTATCCACTCTTCTGTTGATGGGCACTTGGGCTGCTTCCGTATCTTGGCTATTGCAAATAACACTGCAGTGAACATAGGGGCATACATATCTTTTCAAATTACTGTTTTGGGGTTGTTTGGATTAATACTAAGAAGTGGAATTGCTGAATCATAAGGTTGTTCCACTTTTAATTTTTTTGAGGAAACTCCATGCTGTTTTCTACAGCGGCTGCACCAGTCTGCATTCCCACCAACAGTGCATGAGTGTTTCCTTTTCTCCACATCCTTGTCAACACTTGTCGTTTGTTGATTTATTGATGATGGCCATTCTGACAGGTGTGAGTTGATATTTCATTGTTGTTTGAGGGATATAAAGTACAGCATAGAAACCAGAGTCAACAATATTGTAATAACTATGTCTGCTACCAGGTAGGTGCTAGAAATACCAAAGGGAACATTACGCTGTACACCTGAAACTAACACAAAATGATATTGACTATGTACTGTAATTGAAAAACATAAAATGAATAAAAAAAGATAAATAAAAAATAAAAATAAACCGTGTGTTGGGTGGCGATGACTATAAACAGCTCTTTTTGTGACAAGCTGCTCACCTAAATCAGGACCAAGGACAGCTGTCCCTGGGTGGCTGCCCCCTCTCCCAGTTCACGCCCCCTCCCCCTGCCACTCCCCGGGATCAGGAAACACCTGGTCTCAGACTCTGCTTTCCAAGACCCCCAGCAGAGACGGAGGAAAGGGTGGGGCAAGTGGGACTGCCCCACCTCTTTTGAAGCTTCATGGCTATAGACTCCAAAGGGCTCCAACACACCCAGGGTGCTTCAGGTGAAGGTAAGCTGTCCCGACAGCTGGAGGTAGCCCCAGAGCTGGGCAGGGGAGGATGGAAAGGTCTCTGGGGATAGTCGTACCTGATGGCACTTGGGAGCTTCAGTCATCCCCAGTCCCCTGGTTCGGTGTCACAAGGGGGCATCACCTTGAGGGTGGGCGAAGAGCAGACAGGCAGGGGTGAAATCCTGCTCCCCCTTCAGCTGGCACTTGACCTCGAGCAAGTCCCTGAACCTGAGCTCATCCAGAAAAGAAGACGTTGTTCCCGAGTTACCTGATACAAGAGAGTCATTTTATGAAGTATTTTCCCATAATGCTTCAGTAGTGCATCTTATTGTCATCTTCTCTTTGATTTTGGCTCCTCTGTTATAGGAACATGCATATGTTTTCGATGCGACTGTTCCTTTGTTCTAGAAAACAACCCAACTGAAGGAGGCTCCAACCATTGTTGTTGGAAAAAGCCAGTAAGAAGCCACTGACCGAAACATAGACCCTGCCCACGCAGAACTGGAGTGAGCACTTTCGCCCCCACACTGGTGCGCGTGGTGAAGTCAGAGTTCTGTCTCTGCAGATTTCTGCCTTGGGCCTCCGTGGTGAGGAGAGGCAGCCCAGGGGAGATCAGCGGACCAGAAAGTGCTGATGGAAATGTCTGGAAGCACAGCCGTGTCTTAGTGTGGGTGGAGATGGCAGCGGGAACTGACAAGGAGCTCTGGGAAAGTTCCACTGCCTGGGGACACGGATGAGACAATAGGGACAGAGGGAGCTTACAAGAGGCCACGTGGGGCCTCTGAACTGTCTGAAAGTTGGACATCGCTGTTGGCCGCTGGCAGTGGCTCCCGAGTCTGAAGACGTACTTCGGCATCCGTGGTCAGCGCAGCCAGATGAAGGCAAAGGGCTGGGGTCACTGGGCACAGTCAGGCTGGCCTCGTAAGAATTCTGCCAACAAGTCCTGCTTCTGACAGTTGCACACAGATGAAACCATCACCAGACACGCAGAAAGGGCCTGCTGCGGGTGGAATTTCAAAACCAGGCACCTGACAATATTCAAGACTTTAAAACAAAGACCTTTCATCTAGACTGTTTGTCTTGTTACAAATCAAACATGTGTCCATGTGAGAGACATAATGTAGATGAGAAAGCAAAGATCACCTGCATTCTTTCCATCCAGGTACTGCTTCTTACCACGCTTTTCCATTCGTGTTTGCATGCATGTTTAAACCCTTGATAGGAGCCTGGGATCATCTCAGATAGATTTTTCTGATGGGCTTTCTATGAGAATGTTTATTTTTTTTATTGTTCTTAAGATTTTATTTGTTTTTAGACAGAGGGGAAGGAAAGAAGAAAGGGAGAGAAACATCAGTGTGTGGTTGCCTCTCACACTCCCTGCACCAGGGACCCAGCCCACAACCCAGGCATGTGACCTCACTGGGAATCGAACCAGCAACCCCTTGCTTTGCAGGCTGGTACTCAATCCACTGAGCCACACCATCCAGGGCATGATTCTTAGTTTTAAAAAATTTATTTTAATGGCTATTTGTCATTCTACTTTATGGCTCTATAGCCTTTATTTAACTAATTCTCTACTGCTGACCATTTCGACTTATCCCAAGTTTTGTAATAACAGCCCAGTAGCTATCAGTCCACACAACTCTTTGCTTTCATCCCTGGTAGTTTTCTTAGCACGGCTTCTTGGCAGTAGAATTACTGGGACATGAGACCTGAACACGGAAGAGCTTCTTGCCCCATGCTACTCAATTGCCTTCCTAGAGCCTTACTTCTGCCATCTCTACTACTGCTTTTGCTACCTGGTATCAAAACATCACCGTATAAGTCACTTGGTTGGGGGTCAAGGGTGCTTTTCTTGCATTGTTCTGGGTTTTGGGCTTCTGGATGAGGCCATTAAGAACTGAGCTTAATGAAAAGATGCTCAACCTGGCCCCTTTAAGTCTGCACCTTTCAACCACCTGGAAGAGAGAAAGGGGCCCAGTGTGTAGACTGTGAGTCACCCCCTCCCAGGTTTCATGCATGAACGGGGGTCCCTTTCGAGCACTGGTGCTGGGATCCAGATGGGAGCAGGGGGCTTAGCTGTGAGACCACTGGATCTTGAGTCTACTGTGAGCCCAGCCCAGATGGGCCAGAGCACCTTGCAGGGCCCAACCCCACCCCTCCCCTTGGCCGGGACCTTCTCTGGCACATCACCCCAGGAGGGGACAGGCGTGGAGCAGAAAGGTTGCATCGGTGCTATCCAAGAGAAATTTTGAAAGAAGTTTAAAACCTGGCTCCCAAGCAAAACAGAATAAACACGTGCCCAAGATTTTATTCAGCTCATCAATGAAGAGGGAGGCAGGAAGTCCATGAGGCTGGGTCACAAGGCATTCGGAATGCTGAGATTAACATATTCCATTGGGGTAGATTTCTAACCAGGTTCGAGACAAACCTGGTTAACGTCCTACAGGGCAATAAATCAGTGGTTGCCTCTTTGCACTGGACAGGAATTTGTTGCAGCTCTACTGGACAGACATCTACAAATGCAACATGGAACTTCACATAATCTGAGCCCTCAATTAATACTAAGTAGCAAAGTCAAGAAATGATCTATCCTCCTAGAAGTGTAGGTAACCCTTGGGTGGGACTATGAAACAAAGCCTCCTGGTCATGTTGAAAGCACATGCAGTCATCTTTGTGCCTTATTTCCAGATCTGAAGTAACTTTTTGTTAGTGGCACAAGCTTATAACTTCCCCTGCAAAAACAATTCAAATTATGCATTCTGTGGTGCCAGCGCTGCCAACTCAGGCACCTTATGCATGAGGGGCCCCTAGAACTTCCAGGAAAGCAATTAGCAGGCCAGCAGGGACATTGCCCCGAATCCCTGTCTGAAGTGAGATGCCCGTGATCCTTAAGTTTCTATTTTTTGATGTATTTATGTTTTGTGTCTGAAACCACATTGCAAAACTTTTGATGGCAGAGTCCATGGCTTATAAATCTGCAGACCTCTAAAAGTAGAGGCCTTTGACATTTGAATCCAATGCTCTCATTTATCCCATAGCCTGTGCCCCAGCTTTGTCAAGGGACTTACCTAAAGATGTCTGGCTAGGAGACCCTGAACCAGAAGAAACACAAGACTCCTAGACCCCTGCCGTATGTTCTGCCCAGTCTCGTTTATCCACCCCCAGCACAGTTTTGGATGCACAGGGTGTATGGGTGAGATGGATGGATGGATGGATAAATGGATGGATGGATGGATAAATAGATGGATGGATGGATAAATAGATGGATGAATGGATGGATGGGTGGGCAGATGGATGGAAGTGTAAGTGGATGGGTGCATGGGTGGGTACCTGAGTGAATCGGTGAGTGGGTAAATGGATGGACAGATTAATGTTGTAAATATAATTGTTTTACCATTTAAAGAAGAAAATGACATGTGACTACCAGCTTAGTTATTCCCTTCTCTGGAAGAGGAAGAAAAACCTGGATTCTAACTTTACAAAATGTATTTCCTGCTGCCATTCTTGCATTTCTATGTTAAGGACACTCAGCCTCACAGGAAGATAGAGGGGGTAGTTCTGACCTTACCATTGGGCATGGTTCTCAACCCTGGATGCACATGGAA